AATGAGTCGCATATGAGTGAAGTACAAATGGCCCAATCTTAATATGACATGCCCATTATTAGATGAGAATTAGCAAAGAGTGAAAACCGTATAGGTGTAGTTTTAATTATGTTAATCTAGAAGGAATGTCATTGATATTTACCTAATACTAATTCAAAGAACTTTTGTCTTTTCATAATTGTGTACTGTTTTCGCTAATGGTAATAATTTTGTAAAAATTCAAGGGTAGCTTAAGTGGTAACAGGGACGAGTTGTAAATTCAGATGATCTGAGTTCGAATTTTGACAATTCCTTGGAGTCAGGTCATGAGGGATTTATGATTTATCCCTCTTGAATACCCTTGTCACGACGTGGATAATTTGCCTTTGATTTGACCGGTGAGGGAATTAGCCGAAATGCATGTAAATTGACTCAAACACTTTTTACCGTTGAACAAAAAAAAAATTATTTTGTAACTTCAAAAGTATGCACAATTATTCGTAAATCATGGGCATTAAACTAATAAAACGCCTCTCACTTTGAGAGAATCTGTTGCACCCCTTTTAAAAAAAAAACAAAATTATAATTGTTTCTACTGAAGAATAATCATGCAAAAAAGAATCGGATATTTTGTTGGCCTACGATGTATTAATATCTTCTCATATTTCTATTGAAATAATACTATTTAAACCTAATTTACTACCTAATATATTATCCCCCTTTGATGAGTAGTGGGTTTCAATTAGAAGTGAGAATCAATGTCAATTCAATGATAATAATTGACTAGGTTAAAGAAGGTTAGTGACTTATGTTCAAGTAGCATGAAAATAAGTCTTTTGAACTTGAGAAAGATGTCATGTGCTCATGTGTTTCAATGATAGGTAATGCGGGTTTAAATCCAAAATCAAAACCTCCAAAAAAATAGAAACAAGACGCTTTCCCTCTTACTTCTCGGAGACGTCATTATAAATGAGAGTCTCGTACATTCGTTATTGATGTAATCAATTACATCGTGCCCACTCAATCAATGATTAGCTGAAATGAGGATTGGCCAAAACCAAGGAGGAGTAGTTTGGAGTTTAAATTCTTTCCATGTACAGTTCCTATACTGTTGCACAGTGATCGAGAGCAAATCCCTCTAATTGTACCAGTCATGAACTGTATATAAAGAAAGCACAAAACATCTATGTGTGTGTGTGTGATTTTCTCCTAAAGGTTCTCTTTTTCTTTACATTGCAGAATCAGCCAAAAAAAAAAAGAAAAAATTGTGTATGGGAATAAAGTTGTGGAAAATAATTGTTCAAGATAAACTTTATATCCAGGCAAGTTTGATTGCTTAATTTCACGACGTCGAACCCGCAACAATGAATATTGCTCATCAATGAAAGAATACATCGTGGATTTAAGTATAGGATTCAGCCTCGTTAAAAATAAGGGTACGAGAAATAAATAAAAAACAATAAAGTAAAGTACAATAACGAATACAGATAATACTTCTCAATCCTCTCAGAAATCTTTGATATTATTGATTATACCTAGAAGTTGCAGGAAGAAAGAAGATAAACACTGATTGAATGCTGTATATAGAGGATAACAATGTTGATTGATGAGCAGTGTTAGTGACAGTGGTCACCTTGATAAGAAAAGCTTTAGGTTGTGTACAATAAAAGCATTAGCTTCCTTTAATGAAAGTTAGTTTTCGGGTTCGCCCTTCCCTTTATAAGGATTCGTCCATATAATAATGTTTAAATATGTACAACGATTCATCTAGTTTACTCTTAAAGAGAAGCGAAAACTCCTAAGAGAAGGAGATGAGAGCCGTTGAGTAGAAATCTTGTTTCCACCACATAAGTCTTATATCTAGTTAGTAAAGCTCATACTTCTTATTTGTTCGTGAGATGTAGGAGTCTTGAAAACCCGAACTAACTCTCAGTGATGATTCATCTTATACTTCAAGCAATAAATTCATCGATTTTCATTTACAAAAAAAAAAAAAAAAAATTGGGTAGGCTTCAAAAGGCCAAACATTCAAAACCTAATGTGAATGTGTGCATGGTACTTTAGAGCACTGTAATGAAACTATGACAGTGTCTGATCTCACCTTTTGGTCGTGCCCAAGCCAGAAATTCACTTGCATGGAACTTTTAGCAAATGTGACTCTTGCATAGATCGGATCAGTGGTTGAATAAGAGATCAAGTATAATTCGTACATCTTCAGTCTTGGTTGAACCGTAAATCCAAAGTTTACATCGTAATTATGAGTTTAAAAGACAAGTGATCGGAACAATTCCACGTTAACAGAAAAAAAATATCACTTTTAAGAGATGTGGGGGCAAAATAAAACCATTGCACAAAGGATACACAGTGAAGGAATAATTAATACCTGAGGATCTCATCAATTGAATAATGCTGCAAAGAAAACAGTTTCATGCTATTGCTTGTTCGATGCCAATCTAAGGATAATGAACCTAGCAAGATGCATAACCCTAATGTTGGTGAGGATTTATAATGTTTCAATGTCATAGTATGACAAAGTTATAGTTTCTCCAGCCATTTTTGGTTGGTCAATTTTCATTTTCTGGAGAGAAATCAAAAACTTTGTAGTCACAAATAGATTTAGCTTGAAAGTATATGATAGGCTGATAGCCAACATATTTGAGTTCCGAAGTATACCTGGATTTAGTTTTTCTCAATGATAGATAGTCGGCTATGAATTCAAGAGGGATTCAATGATCTACTATAACTCCATCAATTCGGGATGGTGATTTAAGATTAAAAGAAATTGCAAAAAAAAATATATTCGACGGAATCTAGCTTAATATGTGAAAAAGTTAGCAATTTCTTCTATGGTTAGGATTAAATCCTACCTTAATCTTGTTTGAAGGATTTTATGGATAAGGAAAGGCCACCATCTTTGTATAGTCCATTATTTCAATTAGACTGAAAAAGTATAATAAGGAAAAAAAACACTTTGGAATGCTAATAGAAATCATCAGCAATATATCAAAAACATCATGGTAAAGACTGTAGGATTGTTATATCCTAGATCGGCATCGAATAAATAACAGCACAAATTTTGGGAGTAAGCTGGTTTGGACATTCCAAATCAGGGAGGGGATTAACCGAGGTGCGCATAAGTTGATCCGGACACCCCTAACTCTTAAATTAAAAGAAAAAAATACTAAGGAACTTAAAACCTATCAAGGTATGATCATGCCAAGAGACTTTGATGGTGCTTCAATTTATAGCACTTCTCCTACACATAATCTGAGCTAAAGGTGGTTTTAGATTATAAAGCAACAAAATAAATGCAATAGATTAGTAGCTTTTGGTTTTTTTGCATCTTTATAAGGTAAAACATTAAATTCAATAGATGAATAGTGGATTTTTAGAATCCATTTAAGATGTCGAGGGTCTTAATAGTGTAATTAAAGATTACAAATTACGGAATTTAATGTTTAATATAATTTGAGGAAAAAAAGTATATATTTATAGTTCAGGTGTAGGCGCCCGATGGCTCTATGAGGGACGGGTGATTGGTCCCCTAAAATCTAGAAAATCCCTCTTATTATAATGTAATTAGCCATAAAAAAAAAAAATTCGTCCCCACATATGTTTGAAAAAATAATAATATGAGGCTTTTTAAATTTTTTGTGAGGGATAATATTCGAATTTTAAATCATTAAGGGGAATGACATTATGACACTTTGCTCTTGATTGATATTAAAATTTTTACATTGTTCTAATAAAGATTAAAAGTCTCATTCTACCTTAAGTTTCTTTAAATGACGGTGATATACCTTTTTTAAACCCATTTTTCACAAATTAATTCTCCAATTGTGGCACATTGATATAAAATAAACACACCAATATACAAAAAACACGCACAACCGCAATCTCTATAAACACACGTTGTTGTAAACAAACAAGCACACATTGTAATAAAAACTCAAAACATTGTGATTAATAAACTAATAAAGATACATACACACATTATCGAATATTTTTCTGATTTTTCGAAATATACACCATGTGACAGACTTGATAATATAAGTTTAGGTTGGTTTGTCTTACTCAGATGTTTTTTTAAAAAATATAATTACCTCAAAAATATTAAGACAATGTTTAATTGACATGACTAATTTTTTAAAAAATATTATAATTATTTGTAGATGTAGTTTCAAACAATATTAACCTCCTAAATTTGTTACTTTTTATTTTAAAACAAAATAAATTATTTTACTTTCTGAAAAAAAACATGGATTATTTTCTCATTACTATATTTCTCTCGTATAACTTTTCTTTTAATATATAACATGGTATTAGCTCTATAAGTACAAATACAAAAATTGTGAGATGTCATTTAACTTAATTACACATATTTTGCATATTATATATATATATATATATACAGGATCAAGATTATGATTTGTGGCTTCTCGATTGTGGGTCAATTGGATGTTAGGGTTACAATTGAAGGTCAAAAATTGGGCATCGCAAACCTGGAGTCATGCAAATCCAGATCGTGGGATCCATGGTACGGGTTTGAATCCTCTCTAATTTCACAAGAGTTTGAAGATCTTCCAATTCAGTTTTGAATGATTAAGATTTATACTCACCAGCAGATTTAGTAGATTTTGAATCAATTAAATCTACTCGTGTATAAATTTTCACCATTCAAAGAGAATTGAAGGATCCTCCAGTTCCTTAACCTCTACGACAAAGACTTTATCAGGACCATAAAAACTTGAAACATTCATGTCAATATGAATGCTAATAATATTTTACAATCACATATTGTACACAATTTTGCAATTCAAGAAGGCGTCGTCGCGCATTAAAAATCTTGTATTTGAAATGCAATTAAGTGAAAACACTCGAACGCCGGACAGTTTCACCTGAAAGAATGGAGCTCTTATCTGAAGCAATTGTCTACTGTGGGTATGTTGCTATATACAACAATGGTCAAAGAAGGTGCTAATTCAAAGCTTGGCTGCAAATGTAGTACTCCCCCAGCTTCTTCAACTGATTGGTAAGCTCTTATCTCCATTGGTTTGTGAACTTGCAGCAACAGTTTGGTAATTTGATTTCACATTCTGAAAAGACAAATTCTCAAAGCAACCGAAATAAACGACATGTTATGTTTAATGAAAATATGGCATTCAGGTATAGAAATTACAAACGGCTACTACCTCCAGCAATGTAATGTAATAGAAATCTTCCATATGCTGCATAAGTGCACTGCCGTCTCTGATTGAGCGGAAAATATTTATCTCAGTGTTTAGTATTTTTTCAACAAGTTCCTTCTCACCTTTCATCTGTATAAATGTTCACCATCAGAATAAGATTGGCAATCAGAATGGTAATTCTTATCTATATGTAGAGCAATGTCACTGAAGTGGACATTACATAAGAAAGAAACGTTGTCCAATTAAGTGAATAAGTCCCGAGTTAAACAGTAGAGGTGATATTCTTCTTACCATAATAACCCTAATGAGACGTTTTCAGCCTCACTTGAGATTGATTTAGGTTTCCACCTAGATTATCAAGTGTAATGCCTACAATTTTGAAACACTTGTACATGTGCCAAGTGATTGTTGTGTATATGTGTGATACAAAAAAGGAAATCCATAGTTTCAACTATCACTTTGTGCACAATGTCATATAAATTTCATGGGTATGTATTTTAAAGCTCACAAGTCAGAAGCTAAATTCATTTAACTAGGAAGAAAACTAGCAGTGATGCACAGGAAAAATGCAAGAATGCCCACAGTCAATCGAAGGAAAAAACATATATCGGAAGGTTAAAAATTGATTTGAAACTTTAAATAAATTACTACATTTAAATAAATTATAAAGATACAAAGCAACGATGTTACACATCATTGTCAATTGCTTGAGAACTTCAAATTTTTGTTTAGCAAAACTTTTGTTCCAACCGAGTAATCTGTTGAAATCATAGCATCAATCAGACAGAACAAGTAACAAACATGATATATGCACCACCTACCATTAGTAATGACATTGACAACCTCGTAGAGTGATTACGTCATCCAATATTCTTTCCTATATACCCAAACTACCCTTGGATGAACATAATTTAAGTTATTCTTATGCCCAAACATCTCTTATTTTTCAACGGAGTGAACTTCTATCTTCTCCTCTTCCCACTACTCCTTCAGATACTCACACAGCTCCACCACCAGCCTCCTTCCCCCTCCCTCTAAACCCCCACCCCCCCCCCCGGTTTCCACCAATGCCGTTGTCGTTCACACAATCAATACACACCAGTTATAGTTATCAAAATCATACGATTTGCGATTCGATTCGATTCATACGATTCAATTCGATACAGACACAAAACGATTTGTATCTTATATGAGAATCATTTTTAGAGTTTAATCGCATCTGAATCGTACAATTCAATTCGTATCGCACAATTCAGTCATTTTTTTATAAAATCCAATTTTTTAGCAAAACAACGTCGTATTGTTAGCAGAGAAATTCACACCCTAATAAAATCTCAGTCTCTTTGCTCGTTCTCTCTCTCCTACTCCTCTTCTTTTTCTTCTTCTTCATAGTAAGCAAGCCCTAGCGTGCATTTTTTTTTCCTTTATTTTTTTACAATGAATTTTTCTATCTTCTAGCACCATATTTTAAAATAAATTTTTATTTTTGCTCTCAATTCTTTCGTCAATAGCTTGTTAGGTTCTAATTTTTTATTTCAAAATGTTGACATATATGTTTTCTCCCAAGTAATTTTCTTATTTGTTCTTTTTTCATTCATGTTTATAACCTAATCTGTACCGGATGTCACTGTTTTAATTCTTAAATAGTCATGGTTGTTTAATGAATTTTTTTTTCAAGTTGTTAAATTTAAAAATGGTTAAGCAAAAAATAAAAATGAAGCAAAAAGTTAGCATTTTTCTATTTAGACGACATGATTATATCAATTGATTATTTTTAGAATGTAATAATTTTCAATATTCAATATTTTGCCTATTTTAAATATGTAAATATTATTTTTTATTTTTATTCAAATTTTGAGTTGATTCTTATGATTCGATATAATTCACGAATCTCAAATTTAGGATTTCGATTCACAATACAAATCGCGATTTGACAACCATGCACCACACAACCTCAATTTTATTTCAATTCCTACTAAACTCGAAAAAACAAACACAACAAACAATGAATTGGTAGACTTCCAAATATTTCAAAAGATCAGATAATCAACAACCCAAATTAAAATTGATTTCAAAATAGAAATAAAATCTCAAATCAATGGTGATGGAGAATCAACAATCACAAACCCACTAGCTAAGATTTTTATTTAGGGTGATCACTTTAATTATATATTCTAATTTTTTTTCTTTCCAACTAATCTCAATAAAATAATACAGTTACATTTATCAATAGTATTTGATACATGAAGTTCATTCAATATAAAAAGGCCTAAAAATAATATATATTGTTTATGTACAAACAAATCACTAATTATAACCATTATAAAAAAAGTGAGACTAATTATAATTTTGTGATTAAAAAGCTATTACTTATCCACTGACCATCCATGAAATTTATTCGATAAACTATTTTCTAGACATTATCGATATTAGAATAGTAAAGTCACTAAACTAAAATTTAAGAACTAAACATAATAAAAATTTTGCAACTTGATTGGCACATAATAAATGCTACAATCAATAGTCAAATAAAAATGAAGACAGGCAGAAAAATAAAAGTCAACTAAAGCTCAATTGTAAGAACTTTCACTTTTAAATTAAGAAAATAAAATTAAAAATTCATAAATGAGGCCTTAATACAATAAAAAAAAAACAAATAATTGAAGTAAGAAAGTTATTGAATGGGCACAACACAAGTAAAAGATATTTGTATAATTCTTTGAATATGCAAATATAGACATACATATAATTTTTGTAAAAAAAATTGAGAGTGGCACAGCGCTTGGGTAGCTCTGCTTGTGCCACCAGCGGCAAAGAATGGTAATGGAGGTGGACAGCAGCCAACTGTGAAGCACAGTGGTTTTGCCCCCATGGCATAAATTCCAAGCTCCTTGGCCTCTCTCTACATTTGGTGTTTGGTGGTTATGTGTGTGATTTTGGTGTTGTAAGCATGTGATGTGTGTTTATGTTCTTTCATGGCTCGGTGGGTGGTGATTGGAAGAATGGAGATGAAGTGGTGGTGACTGTGAACCAGTGGTTATAGTAGGTAAGTCAACAGTTGGGTGGTTGTGTCTCTCATGAGAAGAATTTTTTGTGGGATGTGATTTATCAGTGTGGCCTAGGCCGGGTGGTGGGACCGTGGGAGAGTTGCAGGGTGTGTGATGGAGTGAGGGTTATGGTTTTGGGCTGGATGGGGTTGGTGGTTTGAGGGTCTAAGGATGGGGGTGCGGAAGATGGATTGTGCGGCTTGAGGGGTATAAGGGTGGCGAGTGCCAGAAGATTGATTGGGTGGCAGGTGGCAAAATGTGATGGGGGAGATAATGGATGGCTTGACAGTTGAAAACAAAATGGAGCAAGGAAGGTAAAAATTGTCACTGACTAACGGACAAAATCTTTTAACAAAGTAAATACCTGCATCTATTCATGTTAACCTGCCTATCCTCGCCATTGTATTGGCTTAATCAACCAATTTGACAAAGACATTATATATTCTACTTCGAAGTTTATATCTCTATGTTTCAACCACTTAAAAGTGATTTATAGGGATATCAAAGTATCAATGATATTCACGATTTTGGTTACCATCAGATACTTTTGCATAAGAGAACACCAGCTGAAATATATTCTTATCCGTAGATATTGGATATATTGCTAGACATTTACAAAGATGAAAATAGTCAACAAAACCAAAGAGAAGAGGAAGGCAAGAAACATACAAATTCACCAACAAGAACATCAGGTGTGTATTCTCCAATAAAGTCGCCTTGGTATCCATCTTCCAGAAGCTCCATATTTTCCTAAAAAAGAATGTTTTAACCTCATAAGAAGCTGTTGGCTAGCAAAATCTAAATGATCACATATTGAAAACTGTAGAAAATGTTACTGCTATTTTCTTCCTTTTCTTTAGGTAAAGTTTACAATTTCATCACTATTTCTCATTTGCCTTTTTCATGATGAAGGACTGGATGTTAGGAAAGAGGTCCTCATGTACTGATGTTTTTTAGGGTCTTGTCAATTATTGATGTAATGGAAACAGAAGTTGATAATCAAGAGGATTCCGACTGCCAAGGCCTAATTGTTGGGTTATACAGTTGTTTGTCTGAGTTGATTAGTTAATCATAGGTGGATAACATAGCCACCAAGAAGTGGTAGCACATGGGAAACCGACTAATGGGTGTGAGTGAATGAAATTGAAATTTGCAAAAGTAATATCTCGCTCTGAGAATTCTCAACTTTGAACTTTGATCCTAAATGGTTAATTAAAGAATGAAATGTTATGAGCAGCACAAACATGGGGCAGTTTCAAAAGGATACAAGCGGCTGTTGTGAAGCAGGTAAAACGTCAAAGCATCTAACTAGAAACCAATTCGCAATGAACAGAGAAACCCACATGGTTCGTATGCTAGTAATGTGAGACCTTTCAAAAAGAATGTAGGATAAGCTCTCACACTCCCCCTCATGTGCGACTCCCCTCTGCACGTGGAGTTGTGGACTTGACCGTAACACAAACATAACATATTGTTCTTGACTGTAAAACAAACAAAACATATTTAACTGAACAACTGGATGGGGACCAAAAGATTGAGATTCAAACCATGAGGCTCTCGGAAACCAGTTCATATACCATGTCAAAGCATCCAATCAACAACAAATGGAAATGCGTGGAAAGACCCACAGTGTTTATATATGAGTTTGGCAGGCTGGGACAAACTCTAACCTTTACCTCGAGTCACTTTCATAATGAACTAACTTTATAAAGCCTTTCCCGAATTTCCTTAAGATCTAATTCAATTAGACATGCTAACACTTCATTCATTAATTAGACATGCTAACACTTTATTCATTAAGTTAGTGACCTAATTAATTTAATGCCATGGGACATGGATTGCTAGTTATTCTGTGTTTCATGAAAGGTTAATATGGATGCCATGCAACATATATTTCTTCGGAGAGACAAGTTAAACAACATGGAAGTAGGCTTATTTTCTGTTTACTACGAATAATAAATTGACCATGAGAGGAACTTGAGAGTTGATTGCCCACCAAGGCATTTTTAAGATCTCCAGCACCTAGATAGACAGGTTCAGCTACATGGCAATACCCCATCAAGCGTGGGACTGTTGGTATAATGTCTCTATGGTTTACAACTCTCCAGCTGTCTTTGACTTTCTGCAAAGTAATCAACAGCAGGTGAAGTTTAGATTTCACCATAAATGGTTATTTTGTCCAAGACATGAGAAGGGGATTAAAAAGAAATATATCTGATAATAAAATTCAATAATAGTAGATGAAGCGATTTCACTTGATCCAAACAAAATAAATAAGCATTCTCAAAAGGAATGTCAATGCCAGCCTTTTTGGTGGCTAGTTTACTCAACGGGAATATCAATAACCGGGTTTTTAACTTGTGACTAGTTTGCTTAATATATCATTATATCATGTGCAGAGCCATGCTGTAAAGTGAAATGACATCTAAACAAGAAAAAGTCAAAAGTAGGACATTTGGCATCACTTGTTGTCTTGTTTATCATACTTAGGATCACTTTGTGCACAGTGATTCCGCTCTCAGGAGATTTCCTTAACAATACTGCCTTAAGGATTTACTCCCCAGAATCAAAGTACCCAAGCGAAAATTCGCCTCTTCCTAAACTTTTTCTAGGTAAAGCTGAGGAAGACAAAATGGGCCACTGGTGAGTGCCATAAAAATGAAACTCCATTGTATATTTTTTAGCAGAGGATCACTTCAGGGGCCTTGTCTTGCGAGATATGGATTCTAGGGATCACAATACACTTACAAAGAACAAAAATTCATATTCCTTGTCTACAATGTCTTCACCGGTATAAAACTTGCCGATGCATTTTCCTTGACCAAAATTCCCACCAACTACTGTACTCTTGATGATTGTTATTAAGGAATTAACCAACAAACGTAACCATTGGTGATGAAATTCATATTGCATATTAAGTTGATGTCAAGAGAAATTAAAAATTTCCTTCATGCTTCTCAGCAGTCAAGTAGTCAACACCTTCATAGTCATTTGTATAATTGCAATAAACCGCGAAAACATAACCAGTTGAATCAATCATTGCTATAAAACCTTGGCACTAACATAACAGAATGATATCTTATCGCAATCACCTAAAACACAAAACATTCATAATGAAAAAAATTGATTAGAACAAAGGTTGAAAATGATGTTACATTGAACTTAGATCTCACAAAGGAAGGCGTCGATTAAATGACCAATGAATACTAGGTTGTAGGTCTTCTAGAAGCCTGGGATTAATATTTGAGCTAAAGAGTTGAACCATTACTTGGCAAACTAAAACTAGAATTGTTTGCTAAGGGCAAGGAGAAGAAAATGGAAAAAGAATGTCATGACATCAAACTACAGGAGAAAGGGAGGACACTTGGCCAAAACTTCATCAATAAAAAAACATATGAATGATGAAATGCAAACTACAATTACCTCATTATAGACATCAGCAAATCTTCTATTTCCAACTCTTGGAGACCCGAAGTTATACATAGTAACATTTATAGCTCCACATCTAACACACAAATAGAAGGTAAATAAGGATACATCCAAACTAACTTAAATACAATTTATTGTGAAATAACCAACACTGAATTAAGACATAATTGGCTGTTCATAAAATCAAATGTTTGAAGCTTCAGATCATATACTATAAGCATCCAATTATTTGTAAAAGATGTAAGAAACGAGCCCCAGAGTTCAGTCTTTGGAATTGAGTTCCGCCACAAACAGTAAACTCCGAGACCAAAATTACATAAGGCCTGATCATGTAACAAGGGTCCACTGTATATATGTGTGGACAATAGGATACACACCACAAATCAGCAAGAAACCATTGACAAATCTTCAGAAAATTTGAAGTTACTCGACTAGACACTACTCAGGTTAAATAAATACAAAGGCTATTGTTGAAATACTGAAGAACAAAAGAGAAGAATCAAAATGTTCCTACTATAAGTTTGCTGACACATGGGCTGACAGGCAGGCTATCATCATGAAAGGCAACAACTATGTTGAGCAATAGGAGAAAAAACTCACTTTGCTAATTGACTTGATGACAGTTCAAGAGCAAGGAGGGTGGCTAATGCACCCCCTAAACTATGGCCAGTCACATAAACATGCCATTTGGATGCCAGTTCAGGACAATCATCCCTGTCATAAAACATATTTAGCTTTTCCTTTGTAAAATACAATTTATATAATGCTCTACATGAATGAGAAATTTAAAGGATTTTGTAGCAACATAAGACTTTTTTTTTTTTTTCCAATGCTTGGGTTACCCAGAAAAGCATGTGAATATCTGCAGTTCAAAAATGTTCACAAAATATAATGAAGGCTATCAAATAGTCTAATCATCACCGGTGGTTAAACAAATAGGCGATTACTTCCGTACAATGAAAGCAAAGGTTGTAATTAGTCATATATGTTTAAAAAGTTAGAGGTAAGTTTGAAAATTCTATATACTTGTGATGTAGGACAACTTTGTAAAATAAAAACAGTAACATGAACAGTAACTTTGACTAAGAATCACTCCTAGATTCATTAGGCTAGGGTTAGAATTGCATCACACAACTCAAGAGGCATGTAATTGTTGAAATTTCTGAATATCTCTCCATATCATTTATTAAAAGTAACACTAACTATATATAGAGTTTTAAGTACTCCTTACCCCAAAAGATTAGGATTCAAAAGTCACCCAACTCTAAAAAATATAAAAAACTACATAAAACACTAATACTACCAAACTAACTCAAAGCAACTAAAAATAAGACTCTATTTATGCTTATGCAAGCTCCCAAGTAGGCTCCGCATCATCCAACATGTGCCAAATTAAAACTTAAGCCTTGGAAGCATCTTCCTCGCCTCTTATAAACTTTATAAGGTTGTTGCCATTTGTCCCCATCAACTTGCTTGTCGGAGAGCACATAAACATAGTATAGTCCAATCAAGCCTAAATTATTGAAGAAGGTAGCGAAATTGTCAACAATTAGTTAAGTTTCACAATTTCCAATGTGATGACATATGTAGAGAAGAATTAAACTTGTGTACAGATTCAAACTTCTGGACAAAATCTAGAACAGCTCACATATTGAATGAAAAAAAGAAAGTAACGAGGAGGTCAAAACTGAAAAGAAAATCAATAAAGAAATGATTAGTTTGAGATCAAAAACATTTAAAAACCACCAGTGTCAATTTAAGAATTTACAATTGTGTGATTTGAATTCTCACCACTAAGCAGTTCAAGGTTTTCAAGTAACAAAAATAGGAAATTTGAGATATGACACATAAGGGAGAGCATGATGCTAGTTATTATTCAAATATTTCCTCTCATGGGACATCAATTCATTAGCTTTGTGGTTAAACAAAAGTTGAATAGATTCATGCAACAGAAATCTTACATATTCCCAACTGTCAGTTTAATGAGAGAGATGATCCTTGTCCTGACTGAATCATATGCACTCAAAAAACCACCATGAACCTGCAGCAATTATACATCATTTAGTAAATGATGAGAATGAAGCAAACAAAATATTCAACTTAAAATCAATCAAAACCATAAAAGGTTGGTCGTACTTGAACTTCTTTCTTGAAATCACCACCTATCCTTTCAGGGTTTAACCTATAGAAGCAGAAAATTAAGAAGCTATAGGGAACTATAGTATATAACTTATAAAATGCTATCTCATAAATATACAATTACACCAACAGAAATCAATTAATAACTGGAATCAAATATAAGATTGAGTTCAAATATGAGAAAGCTAGGATAACCTTATTAGACAATGAAAACCCTGCTCTAAATGTAACACGATCAAGATATATCAGACATGCATGGAAGAATGAAAAACCTAAAGACATAATTTATAGATAGGTTTAATGTACTGTGAAGTTACAAAATAAAAATTCCCATATGTTATTTACAGGAAGGTATTGTCCATCAATTCTTGCTTTTTCGGTGTGTGTGGAAGCTCATAATTCAAAGTGATTGTGCTTCTTTGTTAAATTCTACGATATTTCTTATAATGATATGCAATCCAAATTATGCATGCATAAAGCTTTGCCCGGCAATCCAATTTCACAATATAGTCATGGGTGAGAGCACCTGAGGACGAGAACAAAGAAGAAAATCACTAAGTAAGCCATATCTTAGATCTAGAACATTACCCTGCAGGGACAAGCATTAAATCTGTAAGCAAGTCCTTCCATCTAGCCTGGATAGATCAATGAATCAGCATTTCAAATTAAAATCTTACACAACTGACTCCTCCAATGCGCACAACAAAATCACCTACTTGTTCTGTTCCCCTGAAAGCAACAACTAATCTTTTTCGTGCTGAATCGCGCCATAGTGCCACCTACAACTCTTGATAAGTAAGTGATCCACCAAATATGATCCTATTGATCAAATTATGGATTATAACCACATAAAACCTTTAAGATTATAATTTTACTTCCATCAAGTTCAGAGATGCATACCTGTGTATCTGTGGATGGATTATCCAAGAAACATATTTTCTCAAATTCAGATTTGATAAAACTTGGATGGCCCAAAGAAGTAGCTAGCATTGCCCAAGCCTCCATGGCACTCTCTGCAGTTGAAAAGAGTGCCCTCATCTCCTCAGCTTTCTTTTCATCCAGTGCTGATCCATCCAGTGGGCTTGCTAACTTCTCATTCTTAGAATATCCAGAGACGTCATCTTCGACTTTAATGGAAGCATTTTCTTTGGTGTTTCTTTTAACTGCAAGACGTGCTTCCTTGCTTAGTTGAGAAACTGTGGCATTCATAACCATTAAAGCTCCCAAAATGGAATCGGTTTGCTGTAACAGATCTTGTGTCACCTTCTTAATATCTGGAAGTGATGACTGCTTAGTATTGATGTCCGGTGGGCCAGTTGCTGTATTATCCTTAACCACATCCTGACCACCTGGCGTTGCAAGCCCAGATTCAATATAACCAGCTTCTGCAATCCTTTGTGATTGTAACCCAATTTGACTTAACAAGTCAATTCCTTCCCACTTAATTTTCTCAGGAGCAGGGAGGCCAAATTTCTGAACAACATTTTGATTGATAATATCTGCAAAGTTCTTCCAAAAATGTTTATCTGACTGCGAGGTCTCACCAACTTGAGTCACCGGTGGAGAGATGTATCCACTATCCATACCATCAGTACCTGGGTCAAACTCAGGCAGATTGTAGTCTTCCTTGTAGCTGATGTTATTTAAAGAGCGCTCTGAACTATTCTCCAGCTGTCGAAGCACCTCCGACTCAACAACAGGTTTGTTAGATTGCTCAGCTTCTTCTGCATCATATTTTTCAACATTTGAAGACCAGTCCTTCTGAAAGTATGCATCATTGAGTGACTTTAACTGTCCAAAAGCATACTGAACGAACTGGCTAGTTTGCACCGTCTCTGAGCCAACAACCATCTTCAGAGCAGACTCAAAACCATTTTTCCGAAGAAATTCTGTAACAATGGGGATCCTCCACCACTTCTTATCTTCCTCAATTTCCTCAAAACTCTTGAACTTAACCTGAAATCACATCATTTGAAACAAAAGGAAGACACTGTGTTAGGAAAAAAGTCCCATTTAATAATTCTAATTTCAAAGGGTTACACAAAGCGATTCCGCAAATCAACCAAAGTAACAGAGTAGAAAACTTTATTGCCAATCCAAAAAATTGTAGCCATATTGTAACAAAAATGAGATTTACAGTTTAGGGAAGCCAAGGGAATCAGGTGTCAACGAAAAAGAATCCTCTCATCTAGAGGCAGGGGCAGGAATCATAGACCTAAATAATTGGATGACTTTATCAATAGGAATAATTCCTATGCTTTCATTATTATCAAAAGTATCTGACATAAATTAACATTGAACGAAATAATAAGAAAAAATATGAAAATATTTAACTTAAATGAGTGTATAGCGCATGATCGAAATGAATGGCGAAGACGGACTCATATAGCTGACCCCAAATGATTAGGACATTTGGTTTGGTTTGGTATCTGATTTTTTGTGCTAGTCTTTCATCAACAATCAAAAAAGTTAAGTCTAACAATTTTATCCCTAAAGGAGCATTCTTTGAAAAGTAGGATTACAGAATGGGAGACAACACAAGGAAGAAGAATAGAGGCATTAATCAAGTGAAAAGAGGTGTTAGGTGTACTCTACTCTACTAATTCACCTTGTTGATAAGTTATTAGTTGGTCGACAAGCAACCAGTGGGAGAGAGAATGATAAGTGTAAGCATGATAAGTTAATAACCTTATTGTTGTAGAAGTCACTTCAGTTTTGTACCTATCTAGTCCAAAGATCATTGAAAGTCAGCTCTGCCAACACTGTTAATATTGACCTTTTAACTAGACTAGCAAATTTTTTTTCCAACCCTTCTTTTAAAAGAGTGACAACTAACAGTGATGTCACATGTCAGGTCGTTTTACCGGAGTCTAAGGATACCTTAATTGATGAGTTTTTAGATACAACTTCAAATGCTCTTTAGCAAGAATGTTCTGCTCATTGACGAAAAAGTTTCAGCCACAAAAGCTGAACAACCATCAATCTGTAAGTAACTACTGCAATAATCCATACAACCAATGACTGATATACCATGGTAGAACTGCAACCAATCACAGGACCAGCTCATTTTGCATCAGTGGGGCCTTCTCATCTCATGTGACCAGATCAAGCAGAAGATATGATTTTTGAAGAGAGAACTTTGGAAAACTCTTTGTGTACCCCATGTGAAGAAAATTTAGAACCTTTAACAATCCATGATTACACCATTTATAAAGAAAAGGAATTGGACTACCCGTTTGGCTTCTGAAATTTCTCATTGTCAACATTATTCTAATCTATAGTGTTTTTTTTCCATCGAAAAACATACCTCTAGCTGTATCTTTCCACCACCTCCCATCCCTTCCAGATCAACCAGCACCTCATGCGAATTTCCTAGCAAAACATACATCAGTTATTTGATCATCCTTCAAGGAACTTAACAGCTTCCATATCTATTATCCCAATGTTAGCAAATGTACCACTTCACTGAATCCAGCATAACATGGATTATGTACCGCAACCCGTACAGCAAATGTAACACTTAATTAAAGCGGGAATAAGGCAGTTTATGTCCTGCAACCCCTCCTCTAACCTTACTTTTTATGGGAGGGGAGGCTATTGTGAAATAAGTTCCACTTGCAACCCAAATAATGGTGTAGATGTATCTAATGATAGAACAAACCGTTCTCATAACATATAATTCAAAAATCTAGATCATGCATGTGATCCACTAAACTCTCACCATCACAGAGGCATTCTAAATTAACGCCAGCATTCCCCATGCGCTTATGTGGAGTTACAAGATTTGCATCCCAAGCTGCAACCTGAAGTTCACAAAATAAAATAAGATGCAAAGCTGTGAAGAAAATAAATGAGAAATACTTGCAACAAAAATATTTATGCGTTGCATAATTCCAGTAGAAAATATATATGAGAATCACATTATTCAACTTACAGATCATTCGCCAGTGAAAGTAATCCAAAAGAAGAAAAAAATAATGAAAATTATGATCATGTACTAAGGCTTTTTTATAGTCCAGAAAGGTGAAAGAAAAGCCATACTATTTGACATTTAATGCTGATGAATACAACTTAAAATGAAATATGTGAAAAAGATTCCCTGTATACTCCCAGGTTTAAAGAATATAGGATGAGTAAGTTCTTTCCTTCTCCAGTCTTATTAGTCTTCTTATGTTCATTCTAGTAAAACATGTTAACAACAAATCATTGAATTATGTTAGAGTGTTACTTTCTTATTCTTTTACTCTCCTATTATGTTACTTTACTACTTTTCTACTTTCCTATTATGTGGTTTTCCTATTATGTTCTACTTTCCTAATATTATAATTGTCTTCAATATCAATCTAATATAAATAGGTGATAGGGTGTTCGCAATACACACCATACATAACATTATTTCATACTCTTTTTCTTCCTATCTTCTTCTCTTTCTTTTCTTTAACCCTAACATACAATTATTCAAGTTTCAACTAATTATATGTCATTCTGTTCCAGATTATTACGTGACAACATTGTTTTGGAAGAAGCGAAATCAATGCCCTATAGTGTTATCTATCATGTTGAAACGAGGTCCCAATATATAAGCAAATTAAATAGTTGCCATGGCCCCCAGAAAAAAAAAAGGGGGGGGCCCAAATTTTAGTTATGGTCCTTATATATGGATTGAATTCAGCCTGAACGCATTTAGAATTCAAAGCCCAAACAACTATAAATTCTTGAAAGAGCCTCCAATACAACACCCCCCCTTTATCTCTCTCCCCGTAAATGTTACATTCCCATTCATTCTAACAGCCCATTTGCCAAATCATCAATCAAATAAAAAAAATCACCTACACCATTGATAACCCTACCCTACAACTCTCTCTCTCTCTCTCTCTCTCCTCCCCCCCCCCCCATTAATGGCAATCAAAAATTCTACATATATAAAGAATATCATACCTCCACACTAAAAGAAATCTCACCGCTTCTCTCTCTCCCCCTACCCGCTTCCCACACACAAGTGCACAGATTTTTTCTCTTTGTGTAGAGTTGATATTAGATTGGAAGAATTGAATTTTGTAATGTATCGGTATTATATATCCATTTTATCCAATACAAATGAAATACATAAATTTTTTATTTTATTATTTTTGTAATCAATGACTACCATTCAAACAATGGAAAATCAATGATCAAAAACTATTTTTTGGTATGATATCAAATAATAAGTTTTGGTACCATAGTCTATCATAGATTATTAAAGTATTAAATTCTTTTCCAATTAATAGTTTATTTATTTTTTATTGCTAAAAATATGATTAAAATAATTTTTTATTGTGAAAGTCAGAGTTGATTTGAGAGATGAACAAACCTCATATGCAGTCTAATATTTAAAAGGCTCTATTGTTCTATGGTCTTAGCCATTTTATCTATAGGGGTGCAACTCAAGTGGATTGGGAGAGTTGTGAGGTGAAACTGGGCTCCACCCAAGTAATAAAACCTTCAATCCTAGTTCAGCCCAAACCTTACTTCAAGCCTAATCCTTCAAACCGAGTACTTCCCGTACTTAAATTTTTTAGCTTGGGTTGAATTTGGGTTACACACCTCAAGCTGAAAATTGGATTCAATTGTCCAGTTGAAGATCCAGAGTGAAATCATGTTTGATTCTAGAGTAATACAACTTGGGTAGCATCCAGACTCTAACTCCGAATATTGCTTGAATTTCAATCGGGTTGCGATTTTTAATTCAAGCCTAACCCGAGAACCAGAAATTTCTGCCCACATACTAAATATTTCGGGTTGGGTGGGGTTGATCTGTCCAAGTTGCACCCCTATTTCTATATGTTTATATATGATGTTTTAAGTATGCAATTAAGAAACAAATTTAGCAATCTCTATTGAGGTGTGATGCATCTCTCTTCTTGGGTGTGATGCCTAAAGCTCTTGGTTTGATTGCCTAGAGTTATTTCTTTCTTCTCGCTTAACTTTCCTGCTCTTTGACCCAAAATAATCCCCATCTCTCCAGCCCTTAATATCCTGATTTGGATGAGCCCAGACACTTTCTTCTGTAATTAATCAACTATGTTAACCTAACAGAAGCAGCCATCATTTACAGCTCATGAATATGGTTCGTGACACCCAGCCATACACACACACACACACATAGAGAGAGAGAGAGAGAGAGAGAGAGGAAAGAAAAAGTTAGATTCAGAGTAAGGTCAGGTGCTTCTTGGAACAAGACTGAAAAGAAAAACAAAGCCTAAAAGAATACGACCTGAAGATCCTTCATGGGGGCTGCTTGACATTTAGAGTGAACTCCTCATTCCATGTTGGTTCTCTTGTCCTGCCATCATTCAGTTATCAAACTTCATGTGTCTAAGGTATCTGAAATGATCCTTCTGGATGGCAAAGAAATTAGATAAATGAACAGCAGCTACACTAAGAACGTTCAATGCTCATGAATGCAATCTACATCAAATAAGATGATAAACCTTAGTAAAGAACATGCTGATTTTAGAGAAAATAGCAGCTCGCATAGAAGATAATGTTTTCCCAAAATAAATGGAGGAAAATTCAGGAAGGGTTGATTTATGGGTCCTCACACAAACCAAACCAAGAATAGCGATAATCAAGAGAAATAATCAATTTTTTTATGAGTTCCTTCAACAATATAAAAATATCAAATCACAACAATTATAGCTTGCAGAAAATCCTCTAATGAGCTGTTGGATAAGATTAGACTTGATAACCAGTTGAAAAGAAGAAATTTAAAATGAGAACCTAAACCAATAGCTCCTACTTAGTTCATACCTATGCCGGGATCAAGAGGCAACATTTAATAAACAGAAAATCCAACTTTAACATCCTTTTACTTGATACTTAGTTATTAGTATTAGATTCTCTCAATTTGAATTTTCTTAAATTGTGGTTTCTGTAGACTGTCATTAATATAAACAACAAGTCTTAACAAGTTGTGCAACTCCTAGTCCAGGGGTCTGGTTCAAACTAGAAACAAGCTCATGACAGCACTAAAGTTCTCAATCATAACATGATGCAGACCACAAACAATTTTTTCACTCCCTTTACGAAAGAATTGTTAGTTTTGGTGACTTCTATGAGAACACCAGCAACTTACCCCCATTTAACTTTGCTTTTGAAGACCTGGCTATCCAATTGCATGACCACATATGGATCACTTGTTCCCTGGAAGTAAAGAAGGCTGAAGGATAAAAAAGAAAAGCATTGAACTAAAAAAGATTGATTACTTTGAGTCTCAGTAAATTAATAATAACCTTAAGAACAAAAGGTGTAAAGTTATCGAGGTAATACAAGGAAGCAGACCACTGGTGGAACTTAAAATGAAGTTCTAAGAACAAAAGGTGTAAAGTTATCGAGGTAATACAAGGAAGCAGACCACTGGTGGAACTTAAAATGAAGTTCTACTACTTATAAATGTAGAAACGAAAACAAGAGGAAAGATACCTACCCATGGATCCATGGCAGGAAAATTAAAACCTTTCTTTAGCTTTATGAATAACTGACCATCATAAATCTCACGCACAAAAGACCTACAAATAAGAAATCATCCTTGAACTTAGAAGTCACAATGGTTATATATTCTAAATCCTACTTGTATCATAAAACTTTTTCTGTGACAGATTACTAGGTGATTTGTGTACCTAGTACTAACGATTAAATACAAACGGGCCTTTCGTCAAATGGTATTCTTTACCTTGTGAAGGTTTTGCATTCTTGAGGTCAAGGGTTCAAATCCCTCCCCCTCCCCCCCCAAAAAAAAAAAGTACTAACGATTAAATGAACTGAGCTCTAGAGTTTCCCAGCAAGTTTCAGTCAGAAAATTTAGGTTATAAGATTAGCAAAGCAATGCCATTGCAACAAGTATATAATCAAAACAATTTGGAACGGAAATATTCATAAATATCCTTATTCTAGAGATTTATTAAATTCTTCAAATTTATGGATGGAAGAATAGTTGCATTTTTCGACAAAAACTGATTATGGCTATCTTTTATTCACTTTTAATACATCAGAGGTCAATCCAAAATTCCCATACTTTGTAAGTGGAATATTCTTTTGAGTGGGAAATTGTTGTATTACCCACCATTGCATAAAATTTCCATTTTTCCAGAACAATGAATTAAACCAAAGACAATGCAATTCAGATCTTAGTTTTGAATTATTTGAAAAGATATCAACAGAGTAAACTTAATTTCGAATACTTAAAAGGGACTGCTCATAAGTTCAATTTCAGATGATGGTTCATCCGCTACAACACTATAACATCCTCTTCATTGCTCTTTCAAATATCTGGCATGGCTGAATCTTTTGAATTCCATTTATAATTAAGCAGCACACACAATTATTATCTTGCACACTTTTGACATCCATGCTGTGTGGCAGGATGACAACTAGCACCCTGTGCTAGTGCTAATGATTAACAATCTAAAGAGTGT